AAAGAAGGAAAAAAAAAAAAAAAAAAAGAGAGAAAAAGAAAAAAATGATAGCCCAGAATGCCTCAAATGTTATGTTCGGGCGTCTAGAACACAAAAATTTCGCGGGGGCATGTCCCGGACCCCCTACAACAGTGTTGTTTTAATCGGCCCAACTTCCATCCCCCCCCCCCCTTTTTTTTTTGGACATTTCTGGATCCGCCCCTGGATCATTTGTCGGCATGCTCTTGAGTATCTATATATCATTTTATACTTCAGTGTAAGTCATATATTTTCAATGATTTACCGACTTTTTTTCAAAATAAAGGGTACATTAGGCCTTTTATCCATTATTTGTTATACCGAATGAAGGAGTTTTAACTATAAAAGTCCTCGGTTAAAAGTAGTCCGATGCCAACTGAAAATTAAGGCTCTGTAAAAGTTTATATAAACCGCAATTGAGTCTAGAGCCGCCTTCACACGTCACTTTTTAAATTCCAGGTAATAACTGTTTTTAAATATAGAAGGCAAACGATTAAATTATATTTATAAGATTGGTAGTTTTTATAAGTCTTTTAAGATAGATATAAAAATGATTTAAAAAAAATTAATGATCTCTCTTTTGTCTCAAAAATAAGTATAGCGCCCTCATAATTTCAATACAAAAAAAAATCTCTGCCTCCTGACCCATGCAATATCCAATCATGGCGAATCGGAAGAAAGATGGTGGTGCTGATTTCAAATATTTTGAGGCCTCAGAGACAATATCCCAGTTTGATAGCGTAAAGACATGGCTGCAGAGGAACTGCAAAAAGGTATGTCAACGTGAATTGGCTTGAAAATGTTCATAATATATAGTACTTCAATCATTTACTGTTAGTGTAACAACAAAGGACCCGCTTCTTCGGTTTCTTCACACTACACAGGCTGCGCGACCCGCGTCGGCTTATGTTCGTGCCTGAACTCAAGTCTTTGTCTCCGTTCGAAGTTTAGGCCTAGCATTGATGCTTTTAAATGTGTTTTGATACAAATTTATATATTCTTATAACGTATAATTTAAAGCGTGTTGATTCTGTGATACTAAAGTAAATTATATCGTTAAATAAGTCAGTGTATTGCTAGATAGGCTTAGTTTAATCGTGTAAATAAGAACAGTGAAATTCAATAACATTTCACCAACAACAAGTAAAGTAGTGTTGGCTAACCCGTACACAAACCAACCCGTACCCATGCCAACCCGTACCCATTTTTGCTAACCCGTACACAAATTTTGGTCAACCCGTACCCATGTTTGGTTAACCTGTACACATTTTATTTTGGTCAACCCGTACCCAAAAGATCTCGTTAACCAGCGTTGATAAATGTTAAAAAAAATATTGTATTTATTTTCAATAAAGCTGATAATAAGGTACAGCACACATACATGTACTATAATTGTTGGTTTATTCTATGGTATTTTATTTTTGTTACACATTTCAGTCGCGGTGTATGGATCGCCGAATGTGCGACCACATATCTACAACATGGTAGCTAAGCTGTTACCGTTTGTTAAACACAAAACTATACTAACTATAATTATATGGTAGTAAAGTTAATGATATGGTATAATGATAAATGAAAACAAAGGAAATATATAATATTTTCATATTTATTTTCCATATCAAATTATTGAATATGCTTATAATTACATACAGTACTGTACATTTTAATGGCTACTTGAGGCTTCTTTTATGGAAATATACGTTCCCACGAATATAGATTCCCACAGTACTCTTGATTCGAAGCAGACACAAGGTTTTGATACATATTATGATGTTTATAAAATACACAAATAAGTGGAAATATAGTAAAATATAGTTTTAATTAATATAACGTATGTTAATGTTTCGGGCTTCTTTTTAAAAATCAGGAACAATTCAAGTAGTACTAGTTGCCTGGAAACTAACTAACTGTATAACAAAACTTGGAAAGAAACTTTTCCAAAAAACAGTTTGCAAAATGTTTTATAGTAAAAATACCACTCATCAAACTTTGGTACGGGTTAGTGTACGCTGTGTTAACCAAATATGTGTAGGGGTACGCCAAAATTCTGTGTATAAGTCATCCAAAATTTGAGTACGGGTTGGCATTGGTACAGATTGACTTGTATTCATGTAAAGTAGGCCCTGAATTACAGACGATCAGGCCCACGAGACGATCGGGCCCAGACTATCGGGTACATTTCCAGACTATCGGGTCCATTTCCAGACGATTGGCAGGTCCAATTTTAAAAGTGGGCCCGATCCCCCTAAAAATGAGCCCGATAGTCTAAAAAATGGGCCCGATCCTGATTTGCCTGTGTTTGCTGATGAGGATATGGCCTCATTGTCGGGGAGAGGACGAAGGTGACCACGGGGAAGGTTTACAGGCATTGGTAAACTGGGTGGTCCTCGTTGTTTTGGCGCATTTGGGCATCACCGTGCCAGAGACTGAGCCTCCAGACCATTGTTGGCCAACATTCGAGAAGACGCGACCTTTACGCATTGTCACTTCTTGCCTGGTGGTCCCATTGGACCCAGCTCTCCTTGCACGCCTGGAGGCCCAAGCTGAGGAGACGGCGCCGCGTAAGGTTGCTCCTAGACCTTTGTCTGCAGCCTTCCTGGCACCGGAGGCTCAGTATCGCACACTGTGACCAAGTCCTAGATATTAACGCGAAGACTACTTTCAAGAACAGGCCGCAGCTGAAGAGGCTCTTTAGTCTCACAGTCGCGCAGCACAGGAGACGTTGCGCGCCGTCAACGTCCTCAGTTTCCTAGCTGATCCTGCTTGTTCATGAGGAGGCCTGAACACGGAAACAGGAGGCTAAAAGCCAGACGGGGGCTAGGTTTCCTCGCCAACTACAACATCAACAGCAGCGAACTTACCGATCTCGACCGCGGTCCAATCGGTATTCTTCGGCTCCAGCGCAGCCTTTCCCACCTGTTCCCTTGCTGCCACAGTATCAATAGCAGTGCCAGCAGCTACCCCCACCCCCACAACCTGTGTATCAGCCTCCACATCAGCAGCCACAGCGGTTTCAACACTACCAGCAGCAAAAACCTTGTCGGCCGCCCCGGTCGGGGTCGCGCCTAGGCCTATAATAATATTGAACAATGTATTGTAACGATGATGGTTAAATAACATGTACAAAATAATTAGGCCTAGGCTAAGCTTGTTTTGCTAAAGCCTAAATCTCACATGGTAGGTCATTTGCATTTGTCAGTCAAATAAATTAGAGAAATAGAAATATCCAGATCTCAACACTTGGCTAAATAAAATATACACTTTTGTTATAATAATAATTGTTTTCTTTTATGTATACAGTACATTCAAGCTGAACCACCAACAAATAAAAGCCTGGCAATATTGGTTGCCCAGCTGATTCAGTTTCAGGAGGATGCATTCGGACGTCACGTCAGCAACCCAGCACTTAGCAGGGTTCCCGTAAGTTAATTATTGTTTGTTATAGAATAATAATAATATTCTGCTATTTCATTGTGTCCTAGTATGTCAGTTAATTTAATTATGTATATATGTGTGTTGGGAGAGAAATTAAATAATTTTATAGTTCCTGGATAGTATTTTCCTTCATTTCACTGTAAAGCTCCATGCATAACTAAACATACATACTCCATCCATAAATTCACACTACACTTTCATGACATAATAGAGCAGCTTGGACCAAAAACCTCTTTCCTATCTTGAATTGTAATAAAACTGAATTGTCTCTTCTCAGATGAAATGTTTCCAGGACCACAAACCAAATGGTGCTTTGTGCCACATTCTGTATTCTGTGTACAAGTTTAAGAGTGAACAAGGATGGTAAGTGGTATCAGTTATCCAACCTCGATGTCGGGGTTTCAGTCCCCCTCTCTGCATTTTGCCTGTGTCCTCGAGCGAGCAAATTACTTTATCCGCATTGTTTGCTTCTCTCCATCCTTGGAGAGAAAGTGGATACCTGGTAGGCTTGCATGCTCCTGAGCCAATATTGCAGCAACATGCTTTGTTAACATAAGCTAGATTATAGCTATATGGAATGTAATGTGTAACCATCTTTTTGTTTATTTTCCTGTTTCACTTATATTGTCTTTGTTTCTTCTGATTTTTTTGTAAGTGATGTACTGTAAAAACACCCTATATACAAAGTCTTAAAAGAAAGCTTTATATGTATATTTTAGAATATGAAATATTTATATAGAATAAATATTAATATAAAAAGGAACAATGTTTCAAAAGTTGTGCAAAATTACCATCATAATTTGTTCCCCATCTCCAAGTTAAACCCCAATCTCACATTATCAGTGCCTTTACACATTCGGTAACATATTTTTTAATTTCTTGTAGGAGACGTTTTGATTTCCAGTCGCCATCCAGGATGGATCGTAATGTTGAGATGTTCATGAATATTGAGAAGACACTGGTTCAAAACAAGTGCTGGATGCATCCATGTGTCTACATTCAAGAAGACATTGAACCCAAGCTGGCAGTGAAACTGAAAGAGATTATCAAACGACATCAGGTATTTATAATAATAAATTATAAAAAATTCAAGAATTTGTGTAGCGCCTATTAAAAATATATTATTTGTCACAGGTGCTTAAAGATATAATAAGAATTATTGATTAAAGAGATCAGTTTTAAGGAGGGTCTTGAATGCATCAGTATTAGAAGTTGATCAAAGTTTAGTTGGAAGAGAATTCTATAAGAACATTTGCCAGTATGGATATACAGCATACCTATTTTATGCCTTGTCGTTTTTATCCTGTTTTCTACCTCATTTTCCAGAGACCCAGTTTGTTTTATACCTTTTTTAACTGTATGGAGCACAATAAAAAGACTTCAAAGGAAAACAAAGGAAAACGTCCCAGACAACATATTTTCAAAAAATAATCAAATGATATGATTGAAACTTTTGCCAAAGTTAAAAGGAAGAAATTGTGAAGTGCTGGTGACGATACAAATACTGGGGTACATGTGAGGGCCATTAGGACCCACACCTAAATATCTCTTGATTGAATCAATGGTTGAAAATGATGCTTTCCATAATAGTTTGTCATGTTTTAATAAAGAAGTGTTTAAATTTTGGTCATGATCTGACGTATGGTGTGGATATGAGGAAATTTAGCGTATTATCCATAGGCTGAAACAATAGCTATATGATGAATATTTAAATTAGTGCAATTATAGTAAATGTGTACAGCGTTCTATATGTACTAACTTCACTTTTTTTGGAACTTATTGGGAATACTTTTAATGCATCTTTACATTTTAACATGTGACGCTAAAAACCAAATCCCCATATTTCTATTTCCATAATACTTCCATTTCAACACCAATACATTGCATGCATTTTGTTTGTCAGCTATAAAGGTTAAAACGTGCTAGTATGTTAATCAGAACATGAAAGGAATTGGCAGGTGTACAACTGAGGTGTAAAACTGATACAATAGAAGGCGTTCGAAAAATGAAATGATTATATTTTGGTGCCGATAGATATGCACCCTTCAAAGCAAAATGTCGCAGATCAGATATCTCAAAAACTACTTTCGTGTTAGTGTAATTTTTTTAAAGTAAGAGATTGGCAAGATTGTTTATTAGCTCTAATTTTTGTTAGTGTAACTTTTTTAAAGTAGATTGTGGTTGGTGGTAGGAATGTAGGAACATATTTTTGAGGAATTATTTTATAGAAAAGATTAGCGAGTTATTGTGCGTTTTTGAAGAGGAGTAAAGCGAAATGAGTTGGGGTGGTAGTGGTTGAAGTAAATTAGGAACCTTTTTTTTGGGAAGTTTATTTTATAGAAAGGGTTTTGCAGTGGGCGGAGATATGCTCTCTACTCAGTGCTCTTGTTTACTAATAAAATTGTTTTTTAGGGCTCAATAACTGATGATTTGGAGGATGCAACCCACATAGTCTACCCCCCACCTACCAGCATGCCTGATGGTAAGTCTTTCGATCAATTGGGAATTACTTTCTGTGAACTCTTAAGCAAGTGCTAGTTTGACAGTTTATAGCTTGACTATCAGGTAATATAAATGTAATTATTTTCAGCCAACATTTGTGAAGTGCTGTGTACTGGATGAAGGGTAAATTTAGTGGTGTGGTTTGAACCCAGGACACTAGGAATGGGAAGCAATTCCTCTTTCCACCAAGCTATGGCTCTACTTTTTGTTTAAATTAAAAGTTGTACTTAACCTGTTAAGCCTCCTGACTGTTAAAAATATATATTCAGCACATAATGAATTCGAACAGCTCCTCAACTTTCAAGATGCTTTACAAAGAAATTTTACTCAATAGGCCCAGAAAAATATAGATTTATTGTTTTTATCCTTCTTTTTTTAAAAACTATGGTAGAAAAGTCTTGTGGCAGAAACAAATTAATTAAACAAGCTTTTATTCAATGTTCCTCTCTGTGCAGGGGCGGATTTGTCCTTTTGGACATCTGGATCTGCCCCTGCTCTGTATAATGAAATGTAACGTTTAATATTTTTCATTAATTGACACAGTCACTAGATCTAGATAGTTTTGTTGATATGAATGCCTGAACCTGTCTGTCACTTAATGCCACCAAACGTAATAATTATTAATTTTTACAATTATCAATTATAGCCTTCACAGTAAACTGCAAAAATTAAAGTAAAAAAACTCTTTCTACCATCTTCAGAGGAGTACTTGCGACCGATATCAAGAAGGGACCGAAACTCACTAGTTCATTGGATTTACTACCCTGATAGCTATGATACATGGATCCCAGTTTCAGAGGTTGCTGGACATCATCCCGAACCTGAGCCCCCTCACCCAGATAAATGGGAGGTAAGTAAAAAGTGGAATAATTCTTCTATATTGTTTAGTGAAACCAAACTTCTTTCCCAAGTTGAAGTAAATAGTAAGTCAGGTATTCATATTTAATTTGCTCCTAGCAACCCTTGGATAAATGTGCTTAAACAAGCAAATGACATTTCAATTTCAGGTGAATGCAAATTGGATTCTTCATCTGGAGGAGTTCAATGAGTGGATGAATGAAGAAGACTATGAAGTTTTATTTGATGTAAGTTTATTTATCAGTTATCGTACAATCAAAGTTTCATACATTTTATTCAACAATAAAGTCTGTGAAATGTGCTGAATAGAAAAGTGTAAAAAGAATTGTTGATGTTTCTAAATTATGCACCACTACACTTTGGAAAGTACAAAGCATGTTTATTATTATTATTCTTGGTTATCTATTTACTATTGTTTCTTTAAATTTAGGATGAAGGAAATCCATACTCTGACCTGGGACGTACAAGACGTAAGGCTATTATCGTGAAACAACAAATAGTTGATGAGGTACTTTCACAGTTTCTTCTATCAATAATATATGTTCTGAACTCTGACTGTCTCAGTTGTATCGTTGCAGCATACATCATTCAGGCTTTCAAATTACTAATGTAATGTGTCCTGCAAAATGGACCATCACTGTAATCTACCCTGTACGGTGTAATTTAAGCTCTGTCCAGGCTGTCAAATTTTATTTAACAAAAAGCTGTTGTAGTCCCATACAGTATATAGTAATGACATGCCTATATATGACATTTTAACTGCACCATATTGGTGTCCTTTACCTCTTTAAATAATTATGTTGTTTTCTCTTAAAATCACAGCCAGCTCACAGTCCAGAGATGGAGAGGAAAGATAAGAGAGCCTTAGCATCAAAGAAAAGACGACGATCCCCATCACCGCCAACTGAAGCCAGAAACAAGAAAAAGAAGCCGTAAGTTAAACTTTGTATTGTATAACATTATAAGAGTGATGCATTCAGGGAAGATGTTTGGCGCCCTCAATTATATTAACCTATTTCTTATGAGGAAATAGAGTGTAGATTTGCAATATATTTTGAAAGAAGTACGAACTACAGTGCTACGTTAGCGGATTCTACTAAATATAAATTTTAAAATATGATCGTAATTAATCTTGACTATCATTGTGAATATGAAAAAAATATAACAAGATTTTGTGTCATTTTAAAACATCTTCTTTTATTGTATTTATTTTAAAAAAAATGTATATGCCTGTTATAAAAAATTTAGTATTTGTCATAAGTTGAATACATTCATGTTCTTCTAAAGTATACACAAAACACAAATGTAGTCATGTCATGTATACTATCATGTTTTTTTCATGTGCTAACAATATTTTTCTAATTACTCATTTTGCAAAAGATTGTTTTTATAGTATTTTTGTAAAAATTTACCAATTTAATAAAATTTTATGTTTAAAGCAGTAAAACTGATGTAAATGTTGAAAAATAACTAATAATTTTATATTCGACAAATTATTGACAATTTTACCCTTTATTAATAATCATTTTTTATCATTGTCATCCTTTGATCTTTTGTCAATTTGCGTTGCAGAGGTCGCACTCCAGGATCAACCACAAAGAAGAAGCTAATCAAAGATGACGCTGATGAAGATTTGTCAAAGGAGATGGATGACCCCAGTCCAGTTCCAAATGTTGAGGAAGTCATTCTTCCTAAGACAGGTGTGTAACACAATATTCAAATGAATATAAATGAATAATATACACTTAAGTTGCTATCTACTACAGGTTTACAATAACTTTATGTGTTTTGAATATAAATCAATGAAGGGATGAGTAAATATGGAGACTCCAGTTTTATATTTAATATTTTCTCCAATGCATTTCATTGATAATTTTTTTTATCATTATTTTATTTTAATCATATCTATAGAGGCTGACCCTTCTAGCATATCCTAGAAGGTTTGCTGATATTCAGGGCACTCTCATAATATATATACTGATATTCAAATGAATAATTTACGTAAATAAATAAATTACATTTAGATACGTTGGCCTAGTATTATAATAAACTTACATTATATGTTTTGAATATAAATCAATGAAAGAATTAGCACATATGAAGACTTCAGTTTAGTTACATCATAATTGAAATTGGGTATCTAAAGATGAATATTTTATTTCAGTTCCTACTACCAAATTCACAAAGGACACAGAAAACAATCCAATCCGAACTGGCACCATTGCAGATCTTGATGAAGCCAAAGACAAGGAATCCGAGCCATCTGTAAGCATACAAAGACTACACAGGTTACACAAATTGCCAATCGATAACATATTAGTCAGGTGGGGAGGGCTTGGAAGGTGTGTTCCCTGAATATACACATAGTAAATTGTGGTCAGATCCGCCACTGTGTTAGTCTGAGTGTGAATTTGTCCCATTTCTGTATATGGAGACTCCGAGCTGATTTTTAGTTATTTAATTGGATAAGGGTTAAGAGATTAAGGTCTTAAAGATAGGATGAACTTGTCGTAGGAAAACCACTTAAAAAAAAATTAATAAAAATTGGCTATTCAAACTGGTCTATATTATAAGAAATAGTAATTATGGAATAGAAAAACAGTTTAACAAGGTAAATACTGATGTCTTACCATTGGGTTCAATATTTTATCAGAAAAATAGTGTACTGTACTGGATACGAATCATCCTTACCTGTCTTGGAATTCATTCCTCAATTGCAATATTCTACATTATTCCGATATCCTAAATAAAATCTACTCTTTCTTTTTTGTATTGTACAACACTTCCAATCTTTTATTACAATAAAACCAATAATGATCACATTAATATTAAGCATGTAAATTTTTTTCAGGCTGAAGAGGCCAAGCCCGCCCAACCCACTGCTGTCGAGGAACCTAAGAAGGTCATCCTTCCAGAGATCCTGGACAACGTCACAGAGCAGACCTTCCACATCATTGTGCCAAGCTATGCGGCATGGTTTGACTACAACAGCATCCATGCCATTGAAAGGAGAGCTCTGCCAGAATTCTTCAATTCTAAGAACAAATCAAAGACACCTGAAACGTAAGAAATAATAATCACATGATCAAATAGTTTCATCTGGTTTTAGACCGGTAGTAGACCATAATCATCATCTGTCATTCCTTTGCCCAGTCCCTATTAATTATTTTGATTAATTAAATGATTGTTTGCCAAATGAAAAAATGGTTATATCATTAATTTGTTCTCCAGATATCTAGCTTACCGAAACTTTATGGTGGACACATATCGTCTGAATCCACAAGATTATTTGACGTTCACAGCATGTAGACGTAATCTGGCGGGAGATGTGTGTGCTATAATGAGGTAAGATGTCTACACAAATATGGTACAGTATATTCCTTCTTCGCTTTATGCCCTATATGAGACTGAGGTAATGTTGATTTAGCAATACATGTCTAATTTGGGATGTTTGAAAAGTGAATTCAATCACTTTGACTCTGTTTTGTTTATATTGCAGGGTGCATGCATTTCTTGAACAGTGGGGTTTAATCAACTACCAGGTAGACAATGAGAATAAGCCTACGCCCATGGGACCCTCCCCTACCCCTCATTTCAACATCTTTGCTGATACACCTTCTGGTATTCAACCAATGCAGCCATCAAATAGAAACCAACAGGTATTGTTTTGCATTTTTCTCCTTTTAATAAACCACACAATCTGAATATCTTCAGCAATATTAACTAGTATATTTTCCTGCATTGATATTTACAAATGTTCTCTCACAATAGTCAGCTGCAGATCAGGTCCTTGTTTTGAAGGACAATAAGAAAGATGGTGACAGCAATGGAAAAACAGGAATAGATCTTCAAACACTCGGACTGAAGACTGATATGTATGCTACAAAGAAGGTCCAAGGAGCTAAGGTTAGATCACCTGACAGTTGCCCACATTATAAGAATGTGCTCAGCTATGGAGGTCATTAATTCCCTGGTTCAATCCCATTGTTGGTGTCCTTGTGTTTCAGCATCATGAGGGCTTAAATATAAGAATATTCAAGATTAACAGTGTTTTATTTGTTTATTCCAATTCTCCACACAAAATGTTACACGAGTTCAATGCCAGCACCATAATTTATAACAGAAAAGAATAGCACATATGTGTATATACTCATTCCTGGCCATTCACTACAATCTACAAGACGAGTATTCTTATTCGTGTTTCTTATGAGAAGGACAATTTAGAAATTGTGTACCATTAATATGCTATATATAAAATAATAATGTATAATAAACAAAGATGATTATTTCCATGTTTCTGTAAATCCATAGGGAAAAGCAGCTGCTGCAGTATCCAAAGAATGGACAGACCAGGAAACGCTTCTGCTCTTGGAAGCCCTTGAAATGTACAAGGATAACTGGAATAAGGTTGCGGATCATGTTGAAAGCAGGACCCAGGATGAGTGTATCCTTCACTTCCTTCGTCTTCCGATTGAGGATCCCTTCTTAGAAGATGGAGCTAGCGCTCTTGGTGAGTATGGGCCTTATTCATTTATCAACAAAAGGACTATACATTTTAGCTCAGCCATGCAATACTTTCCACTTCCTTAATTATTTGTTAGTATTTAACATCCTTTTGAAAATTATTTTTAACATAGATGTGTTGAATTATTTTTCATTGAATTTGGCACTGCCTAGGACACCCTTTTACCTAGGCCTAGCCTTCTAGAAATTGATTTCCTAATTGTGGCTTCAGATAATCTACATGTGTAATGCCAACTTCCAATTTTGGACTTCTTTACTTCTTTCTCTCTGACTTCTACACTAGTTTTTTTAAATTTTTGTGTTCCTTACACCTTAATAATTTAAACTTCATCGCAAAATGTAGATGCTTGCAGAATACATTTACATGTTCTCTGTAAATTGATAAACAAATGGAAAATGGAAAAAACTTCCTTAAAATTTTGAGCTGTTTCAGATTTTTGAATTTCTGTTTGCTGCCCTCAATTTTTATGAAACTAAAAAAACTCATTAGAACATTGCACATTACACTTATAATTTATCTATTTTGACATTTTAACAAAGGGCAAGGTGAAGTCCTCCCCTAGATTTGCTGGTGGTAAACCCACCATGATGTTAATTATAGAATTGACCGTCCTTAGTAGGATGTATACTAATAACATTTAACACACAATTTCCTTACACCTTACTCATACGTCATGGGATCGTCTGAAGGCGTAGGGGTGCAAGAGTGGTTATGCGTCACGTACAGTAGTTACTCATTGTGATGTAATGAGAGGTACATCAATGATCTATGTAAATAATGGAATTACATGACTTTTTACTTTGAATTCCTTTTGGGAGAAAGTGAAACATGTCTGAGATTACAGCCAGGAAATGAACTCCATATCACCTTTTCAATTGGAATATTTTGATTTTTAGTGATGATTCTCAACTACCATTTATATATGAATTCTTGATTTTTATTGTAAAAAAATGACAATTGTGAGTTTTGAACTTACTGCAGTTTTTTAAATTATACTATATGACATTTAAAGATGTTTATTAATTCACTTAAATAATATATTTTTGTAGGCTTTTTGATAATTTTGGATTTAATAACTTGCATTTTTTTCATAATTGTTTTTCTTTTTTCATTTAAATTTTCTATTTCATTTATTTTTTATTATTTACCCTTACTACCGTATTCTAATTTGTATGAACCTATTGTTTTCTTCAGTGTATAACATAATTTTGTTAAAGAGCAAAATTATGCACAAGTTGTACACATTGTTGAAATAAACAAATATTTAACACAGTGGATTATTAAGTGTTTGTGTTTTTTAATATTTAATTTTTTTTTGCAGGTCCAATGGCATACCAACCAATCCCATTTAGTCAATCTGGTAACCCGGTGATGAGTACTGTTGCCTTCCTGGCTTCAGCTGTTGACCCACGAATAGCTGCTGCAGCCGCAAAGGCAGCAATAGGTAGGATGCAATAAAAAACATTTTAAAATACACAATGACATGGGTGTTTTTTTAATGATAGGGTTTGCTTTTGGTAATTCTGGTAAAACTTATATACCTCAAATAATACCTTTGATGGAATGTGAAGTGGTCCATGCTGCGTTTCAATTTTCATTTAATTTATTTATTTAAACAACAACTGTCCAGGGACCCCAAAAGCAGCTGAGTCACTGTGACAAAAATGTTAGGCCCTAGAAAAATATTCAAATTAACCTACATGCTTACCTTTCTAAATCCACATAAGGAAAAAAAATATATATACATACAAGTTATACACTGTCAATTTTTAATAATATATAATATTATAAATCAATTAGTGTAAGTAATATTAGGCTGTGGTCCAGGCTTTCAGTTTTTGAACTTACACTCTTACGCAATTTTATTACAGTCATATGGGCAAATGAGGGTGCTATCTTGTTTGATATGTTAACCTCAATGTCTAAATCCAAAAGGGTAATCAGTAGGAAAAAGAATATAAAATCTTTACTATGATTCATGGGAAGAGATTCAGTGATTTAGAATGGACCATAATTGTGCTTTTACACAAAATTATTATGAATTGGCAATCGCAACAGCTTTGTTTGGATCAGCAAATTATTCTTAGCCCGACAACTGGCGTCAGACAACGGGGGTCCATGATTGTCCATGGGGGCGAAAAATTTCCCCCGTGACCTCCGACTGGCGCCACCACAGCAGCTTTGTGTAAATCGTAGTATTTTTTTTGCACTGCCTGTATTGAGTTAAAAAACTTGAAAAACAAAATGTTTTCCTTGACAATGACCAGACATGTAATACTGTTGGCATAGATCCTTAAATTGGCTTGTAATCAATTTTAGAATCTCAATATTTTATAATCAGCAAATGTATATCTGTAGAAGATTATAATTGATTTTCTCTCCTAAATGAGAATCTATTGATTTAATTTCCTAGCTTTTTTTTTACATTTGTTTGCTAGATTGTTTTTAAATATGTTTAATTTATTCAAATTTCTTTGAAGAAGACACAATGCCCTAGTTTTCACACTTGTGCGGAAGTGAGCAGGGGAAAAAACTAGGTAATAAAATCAAGTACTCACTACAACAGCTTGCAAAAATTGCCCAAGTAACAGGCTTTATCCTGCTAACATTATCATACCTTTTCCTTCTAGACAAATAACAGGGCAGCAAAAATATTACTTCACAAAATTGAATGATTTCTACTGTATTGGGGAATTGGTCCTTGCTGATTTGACCATTACATTGGGACATGCAGTATAAAGACCATGCCAATTTTGTGTGCTTTTTTTTTAATGATCCTGCAAACTGTCTCTTGAATAGCTCACATTAAATAAAAGTTAACCCTGTTTTTGACAATTGTTCATGTCAATTACAATCATTTAAATGAGTTTCTGTTAAGTATTTACCTGTTTTTAAAAATCTGTCATTGATGCTAAGGACTGCTGATTATGATAAAAGGAGGATGGAAGTAAACTATTAAATAAAATTAAGTGTATGCAAGGTACTTAAGTTAACCAGGTGTGTATTTTGATGAAGAAAGGAAATTTCACTTGAACTTTGACCAAACATGGAACCCTGAGATTTGTAACTGTACAATTTAATTTCTGTAACTTGTGTCCGGCAATGCAGTGGCACTCTCTTCTGGATATGCTATTGCTTGATTCATATCCAGCGTAAATGCTTAATTTATTCCATTGAGCCCAATGCCTTGATCTGCATTACGCAGTATCTCCCAGGGTACGGCCATGCTCTGTAAATATCGTGCTTCTGCACTAATTGACCAGGTTCCTGGTGCATGTATGTTAATTTCTTAGGAGAGAGCTTTAGCCTTTATCTCATTATGTTTCATGCAACTTCATTGGTTGCACTGTTTTTTAATGGCAGCCTGTTAGTTAAAGCAAAAGCAGGTATTATGTAATTGTAGTAAATTTTAGGTTGATACTGTATAATTTTGTTTGGTAGATGAATTACTAATCATAAAATTAAAATTAAACTTTGGTCTCAACACAAGGGAATATTTTTTGCAATGAAATTTGATTATCAACACATGAGCTTTTATTCTATAGCAGAGCCTAGTTATAATGATAGTACAGTAGAACCCCTCATTTACAAACCCCGATTTTACGAATTCCCGATTTTACGAACGTAAAATCATATTGTTGTCATAAAGTTCCTATTTCATGTACAAAACACACACGCATGTCAAGAATTAATCGTTAGGCGCGTGCTGAAGTTTATTCATTCGGTCTTAGAAGTTTTGCAGCCGTGAGAAAACTCCGTTGTCGGCATATCAATAGGCGCATGATTTATTCATCTCTGAATACACCACCCTCATATCGTAATTTAATGAACCCCTAATTATAAATGGATTTTATTTATCAAATCTTACTAACGTTAATCTACCATTTCATTATTTCCCCCATAAAATAAGACACTGACACCCACATTTTCTTTTTAACTTTGTTATTCATTACATAAATGTTAATTTAGGCGTTGAACAATCGTAATGCATACAAAAAAAAAATATGTTTAAGCGCAATGTCTACAGCTAATCAGCGCTCTTTTTTAAAAAAGTTGTGAACTCCTGGTTTCTAGGTTATTCTGTACAGGTATTACTTGACGCCACAAGCACATGGATCGAGTGAAAAACGTTATTGTGTCACTCGCCCTGCTGCGGCATCCCCGGGCTATGTTGCTCATAAGCTAGAAGATATGTCATATATTATTGCCTGAGAAAGAGAGAATAAAGTTTGTATATACACAAGTATGTATAGTACTGTACATTATTATGATTGTTATTTTGAATTTCTTTCTAGCGCAAGTTGAAGTTTTAGCTTCAATCAAACAAAATTTCAGTCCAGCCCTAGCCTAGCCCAGTCTAGTATATCGGTAGTGTAAATACATACGAATTTCACACCATTTTTTACGTACGAATGATTTTTACGAACGCCTCTGGGCCCGTCCCGTATGTAAATGAGGGGTTCTACTGTTTTCTGAAAAATATTTATTGTCGCGTTGAAAAACTAGAGCAGTCACTCCATAGAGTGCCTGTGCCTGAATACAGCACCAAAAATATGCAGGCCGCGTGTATCATAGGCGGAACTGGAGCATACCCAACAAAATAATAGAATCACCCATTTTATTCGGGCACATTATTTTCTTGAGTGCTGCAGAATACCCTCAAGAAAATAATGGAATCGCCTGTTGTATTCAGGCACATTGTTTGTTTGAGAGCTGCCTGAATAAGTGGGGCAATTCCAGTATTTACTTTTATGCTTGAGTATAAAAAAATTGAATTTTCGTAAACCTAATCTTGACCTTTTCTAAATATGGAAAGGTGTTTTTCTTTGATTATTACGTACCATTCCTCTAAATTTTATAATGATCCATTCATTGATTTTTGCGTTATCTTGCTGACAGACAGACAGACAGACAGCAGTAAATACTTAACTTCCTTTGTGGAGGTAATAAATAGGAATAAATAAATCTTTTAGTGTATGCCCCAAAAATATTTTGAGTTTTTAGGCTGTTTCCTCCATTGCATTTGTGATCTTATAAAAGAGTGGTTATGCTGTTGTATTTAAGCACAAGGACGTTTTGATGTGTGCAAAGTGTTGTATATTACATGAAAGTGCTCATAACATGTCGCATGGACTTTATTTAAACTGATTATTTCTGCTAGGTAGGGAATTCTTGTAAATTATTGAACATAATTAAATTAGAAATTAATTTATTATGGTGTATGATAAAGATCAAGTTCAGGTCAGAATCGACAAAACAAGATCTTGAAAAAAAAGTCAGAAAACATGTTTAGAGTTGTAACTGTATGTAACAATTGCACCTTCTATCTTCTACTATCACTCCCTCTGTCATCTCAATAACATTTTCAAGTGCTAAGTTACTGTAGGCTCCTCTATTCAGACTAAAGAAGGAAAGGCTTGGAATATTTTTTTTAGAATTATTTACAATACAAGGAAAACTATGAATTAGATGCAACTGATAACATAATGTCAAAAAATAATAAAAAGTTATGATATAAATAAATTTATTTATTATTATTATTATAAATTTTATTCTTTCATGTTTATGTAACTGTTACTATTTTTGCAATTATTTTTATTGTATTTATCATTATTATTTTTGTTATTAATATTTCATTTTTATTACTGGTCTCCTCTAATTAAAGAGCTAGTGAAAGGCCAATTTAAGACCAAATGTCTGCAGCTTTAATGAATGCCTATTTATCTTTTTGATAATTATGCTTTTTTTCTAATTAAAAACCAAAGCTGCTATAAAAACCCCGGCCCTAAGTGTGGTATTTAACTTGATTGTAACCTGTATTTACATTTCTTTTTTGCAAAAAAATTAACGTAATTTGAAATGTAAAAATATTGAAATGACTAAGCATTTAAATTTGAAATCTTCCTGAGGAACTTCCACAAATGAAAGTCTAGACTACGTTGACCATATGATGTTGTCCTGTGCGGAGAGGTGGTCAGCATAATCACAGACAAAAGCTCTATATTACCATTACTAATTAGTTAATTAAGGTATTACTTGTCATATGGAATTTATCAGGATGGCATAATGGTATACAGGCATGCCCAACCTATGGGGTATATACACTGTAGTAGATAAGGTGCCTTTTAATAACAAAATGATGCTTAATTATTTTAGGATAATTAGGAGTATTAGTGGAAGGAAGTGTAGTTTGGTTTCTAGAGCTAATATTGCTTGAGAGGTTAGTAAACTTATAATTATTAAGAGTAAAGTGGTTATGCCGCTTTAAATTATTCGTTCATCACTGTGTTATTACCAAATCTATAGTTTTCATAAGATTTTATACTGTAAGTGTGTATTTTTTTATAGTAGTTCTATTTTGTACAGTTTTTTTTTTCAAACATCTTATTAATTATGTGATATAATTATTATCTCAAATGAAAGGTATTTGTCAAGGTCATTTTTTTTTTACCATATATAGAGGGTGACCCTTCCAGCGTATCGTAGAAGGTCGGCTGATTTTTAGGGACCCTCTGGAATAAATGGAATAAAGTGATTGTGATGTTTTATCAGCGATGTTTTATTATATGAGGCTTTGTGAGTGGAGATGTTTTTTAGTATTGATAAAAAATTGTGTGCTTTAGCAGGACTTCAATAGTTACTGTAATACACGCTGCGTAATGAAGGTTGCTTTGGCTTGTGGCAGTTTATGTTTTCTGTAAAAAATGTTTTCTTCCAGTTTTTGAATTCTGTTAGCCTACAATTATTTTTTGACTGGGTAAATATTACAATATATATTTTCTGAAATTTAATCTAAATTATATTAATGCAAATGTTGTTGCTAAACTGACCAATCGGCCATGTTTGTTTTGATCACATGGATAACTTAACGCTGATTAACACACTCTGGTTTATGTTAATTTTTGTTGTCAACGAAGTCTATTTTACAAACTAGTCGTATGAAAATAAAACTCGATGAAAAATCGTATTCAACGAAGTGAATTAGTCGAATAAGCCCATTGATTTAAATGTTAGTCTTTTAGTAATTTGTCTAGTTGGTCTACTCGCGTAGCCTATTTACTATAATTTTTCAAATCCCCAATGTAAATATTAGACGGAAGCAAATTATTATAAGCTTTAAAAATTATTAGATTTCAGTTTGTTAAGATAAAAAAATTGATTTCAGTTACTGAAAATTATGTTTGATATGACATTAAAAAATTGTTTTTATGTAGTTTAAATAACTTTCCTGTAAGAAAGATACTCTAGTAATCAACATTAATCATCACAACAGTATGATGTGGCATCTAATATGAAAATAAAGATTATAATTATGTTAATTATAAATAATAATACTAGTAGTAATTTTAAATTTATATTAAGGAAGATATGATATAGAAATTTAATAATAATAATAGATTTGTATAGCGCATCATGCGAAAAAGCCTCTATGCGCTTGTTTGATTGAGATCTTTGAGTTTGACATTTTGAAAAAAGTTGTTATTTTATGAAACTAAAAAACCTACTCCTTAAAGTAAGGCATGGTTGGCCGTTGGCTCCGAGGAGTTCATCCGCCCTTTGTTCAGCTGGTTTTTTTTTATGCTGTTCATGTGTATGTTTTAACATTTAAAACCTCTAAAATTTACTATTTTGGTACAAATGTACTGTTAGTTGTAACACTTGTATTTAAAGTATGGTGAAATGCTAAGACTTTTTGGTTCCATCCTTCTGTAGCTCCTTGAGCACTACTGCAGTAGATATGTGCACTTTAATTCTTGTAATTATTATTCATTATTTTACTGATTTGAAGTGCAAGAAAACTGTACAAAAGCCACCTTATATTCAGCTTACATTGTATGGCGACATTTTATATTACATAATTGCCTTGTGTCATACAAATAACTACTGACTCAGACAGGAAAAGCTTGGCAGTATCACAAGTTTTTTTTCATGTGTTTTCAGAAGCCTATACATAATTTTTCAACCATTGAACTACCTGGATTAAACTAGTGGTGTATATCACTAACTTACATCTTATATTATACCATTAGCTTGTGTACTGTTTAATAGCAAATGATAACTGCTGAGACGAGATAAGAGCACCAAATCATCATACTTCTTATTGATAAGATTTAAAAGTGAAAGATTAAAACACTAAAAAATGTTGTTTGTGTACGGTCGTCCACCGACATGCTTTCATAGAGAACAAAATACAAAGCTGCGTGTGCAATGAATCGTTTTAATTATGATCCATTCAGACTACCAATCATCAGAGGGCGTTGCATTGTCAAGTGCTCACAGAGAACAGATGGATTCTTCGGCCGATGATCGTATAGCGCAATGTGTGCCGGCTTCAGTGTTTGAATACATATGTATCAGACTACATGAATATTCATGCATATTTAATTAATACACGTGATTATCATTCTGATGTCATCTTCACACATTTCCTCCAAATACTACTCAAACTGTTGAGTTTGTATTTCATGTAATTCAATTACAACCTATATGCTGTATACATATATTTTAATGGAGTTTAAACTATAATGTAGCTTGTTATTAATTTGATAGTCTATTAAACAAATATAGAAACCAATTGGGGGCAGGAAACAGAAAGTGAAATTAAACTAGTTTTTCCTACATTTGAATATGTTACAGGTCAGGAAAATATGTCATATTTAATTTACTAATGACAAATTAAATAATTTCAGTGGGAAAAAAACATGAAAAACAGCAAAGTTGGTGAATCAGATTTAAATGCATATTTAAATTTGCATGAACAAAATTAAAATAAATATATTTCTTCTTATTGTTATTTCTTATTACTTTTTTTTTCTTATTTCTTTTTTTTATAATTGTAATTAAATTTAAATTTCTTCCAATTAATACCATTTTATGTACTTTTAAATGTTTATCAAAGTCTTATTTCCCCGCATTTTAAATTGCGTTCATTCATACTCGCAGCAGCTTCATTTAAAATAATAGATTTGTATGTTCAGTGTGATCTGCACAACAAGAACAAGAGCAAAAGGCAGAAGAAGTAAAAGAGGAGAAAACAGACACAGAAGAAGAAAAAACTGAAACAAAAACAGAAGAGAAAACAGAAGAAACAAAAAAGGAAGAAGAAGAGGAGAAAATGGAGGAGGAAAAAGCAGATGAGGAAGAAGTGAAAAAAGAACCAGAAGAAAAGCCAGAGAAAGTGAAGAATTTTGAAGAAGAGATTGATGAAGGCAACATCTCAACAGCAGCTGCGGCAGCTCTAGCTGCAGCGGCAGTCAAAGCGAAGGTAAGCACTAAAGTTGTAACTAAAGCGGCTGCAGCAGCTCTAGCTGCAGAAGCAGTCACACTCAAGGCAATTATAGTAAATTAATGCTTATAATACAGTAGTGCACAAGGCATGAAAACTCTGCACACTTTATATTTTTAAGAAAATGGCGCCAGAAAATCAATGGACAAGAATGTTAAGCAGTAGAGTTTTAATTACAGTTGCCAAGGCAACTTTATCTGTGGTGGCAGTCAAAGCCAAAGTAAGCACTAAAGTTGTAATTACAGCTCCTGTGGCAGCTCTAACTGCAAAAGCAGTCAGTTAAGGCAATGATAGTAAATGAATGCTTATAATAGTGCACAATGCATAAAACCTCAGCACACTTTACGTTTTCAAGAAAAGAGCACCTGCAAATAGGATGGACAAGAATGAAGTGATTTTTAAAACTTAATTGTATCAGCCTGTTTGATATAATAAGATGCCAAATTATTCCAAATTGTGTCGAAGCCAAGATAAGCAGTATAGTTCTAATTACAGCTACTGTTGTGGTACACTGCGGTAGTAGTCAGACAAGGTAAGCAGTAGAGTTTTAATTGCAGCTGCAGCACCAGCTAATCCCAAGGTAGACAGTTACTAGAGGTTCTAATTACAGCTGCCAGGGCTGGTTGTGGCGGCAGTCAAAGCCAAGGTAAGCAGTAGTCACAATTACAGACTGTGGCAGCTCTAGCGGTAGTCAAAGCCAACATAAGCAATAGGGTTCTATTTTCAGCTGTAGCTGTGGCAGCAGTCAAGCCAAGCTAATAATTTTAATTGTGTATGCAGGAACGTACTGTAATATCAGTATGATTATAGCAGCAATGTATTTTGTATATAGAATGAAACGGTTTAATGTTAGCTCTCATCTTATTCATATGTTTTATTCCTCGGTTGTCCAGTCACTTCTTTCTTATTGTATTATTATTTGGTTCTCTCATATCACCGCAGACAGTAAATGTCAATTATTGAGAATTGTAAATAAGGCTGGAAGAGTGTTTGGAGCCGACGTTAAGTCCTTGGAAGATATTCTTAATGATTTTTTACTTAAGAAATTTAATTCAATTATGCAAGATTCATCCCATCCATTATTTTCAGACATTATCATAAATAGATCGGGAAGGGTTAGACATAAACAAAACAAAATATCCACAAACCGTTTTAAAAATTCAGCATTGTACATCGCTTGTAATCTATTTAATCAAAATTTCAGAAGATAACTGCACAGGACTCAAATTTTTATTTTCTAAGAAATCTTTATTTAACACTCTATATGTTTATTAACGATTCTATGTCATGTACAACAAATATCTCTGAATGTAAAATTTTGACAATAAAGTTGACTTGTATCTTGTATTTTGTAATCAATGTAGTGAATATTATATAACATTTCAATTAACATTCAGTTAACTGTTATATTTGCATTCAAGCACTTAGCGCAAGTAGAGGAACGCAAGATTAAAAGCTTGGTAGCATTCTTGGTTGAGACACAAATGAAGAAATTGGAGATTAAATTGCGCCACTTTGAAGAACTTGAGACAATCATGGACCAAGAACGAGAAGCAGTGAGATATTTTCTTGTTTTATTTGTATCAGTTATGGGTTTCCGCAAACTGCGCATCCCTGGTAGAATCCTTCAAATTCTAAAGCATTCTAAAACATTGTCTGAATATGGGTTTTATTCAACAAGAAGATGAGTTCCAGGTGGATTATTTCATTGAACATCCTACGTACATACCTCACTTATATACCGCTATTTCATTAAGATCAGAGCACTTCAAACATGGACTAGCTCATACAGTAACTTTTGTCTGTCCACAACTGGGCTATATGGACCAGTATGCTGGGATAACCCCCCTATTCATCTCAAAAGATGTACTGGGTTCTTTATAGTGAACATGAGGCAATTGTGTACACGGGCCTACAACTATAGTCTTTATCACAGAAGGCTTGTTCCACCTCCATAACTGAAGGTTTGAATCAGTTTCAATGTTATGGCTGTAGGTTATATAGTGCCCCTGCTTAACCGCTCAGCCATCCTACTCGTCTTATTTTTACAAATAAATCTTGTGAATGACATTTGAATATCATAAGGTGACTTCGCATTTCTGTTTACATTTTTTTAGCTTGAATATCAACGGCAACAACTTCTTGCTGATCGTCAACAATTTCATCAAGAACAGTTGAAAGCTGCTGAGATGCGTGCCCGCCAACATGCCCACGCCCTTGCGTCAGTTGTCCAGCAAGGGGCAAGTCTAGCTCCATTGCCCACTGGTAGGTGAAGATGGATCTTCAATAATTACACCATGGAATCTACTCTTACATAAAATTTACAATATTTTGTGTATGCTTATTTTAGTTACTGTACATAGTGTATTGTGGAATATCTTATAGATTTTTTAAAATATAGTCACATTTTTAATGGAAAGCTGTTTAAATGTGTTTATTTTTCATAGGTATGCCACAACAAGCATCAGCATCACAGGTAATTCCTGTACCAGCTGAGGTCACGTCTGTAGCAGACAAGACCACACCTGTCCCTCCGACTGAGCCGACCTCAACCGATACTCCTACAGCAGGTTAGTGGCTTGATGATTAAGGTGCATCTTTAAATCTTAATATTTGTGTTCACTCTCTTGCGAGTGACATTATTTTTTTTTTATAATGCAGGTTTGAACTTTAGTTAATAAGCTCAATGCTTTTTTGTTCTGATAATGAGGTGAATTTATTTTTTTTAATGCGTTAATGTAACGTATATAAGACAACATATGCAAAGTTGATAGTGGTAATACATATTTAAAATCAATTTATTTTACCACTAAATGAGGAAAGTTTCTGTTTTATAGATTTTGCACTATATTAACCCATTCACTGTTGCAGGTAAATGCACCGTCTGTGCTGGGACTTATTTTGAGGAAAAAAGGTGATTTTAAAATAAATGCCAAAAAAAGAGCTTATTTTTAAATTATTTTTGCGTGTTGGGTTTGGACAAGAGGTTGGCCTATTGGGTGAAAATTAAAATTTGGTATTTTGCATAATTAGGTGGTCATGTGACATCTTCGCAGCCATATTGGATTTTTCGCTTGTTCATAGAAAATAAACTATAGAGGGCACAAGCACTCGGCTAATTTTTAAAAGATTATTTTCAAATACCCAGTACTACCGGGGACGTGCAATTCAACAGCATTTTTTCTACCGGGTATGTGTAGTGAAAGGGTTATGTATTCAAGTTATTATTATTATTATTAGTAGTAGTAGTAGTAGTCGTAGTAGTAGTAGTAGTAGTAGTAGTAGTAGAGTAAAGACTAGAGGACTTTAGGTCATTAACTGTTAATACACAAACTGCTACATCACCTTGTAAACCAAAATCCCTATTGGTGTATTTCGCATTATGAACATCGCCCCCTAGAGACTGACTTAGCATCATCTGATGGCATGTAATCACAATTAGTTTCTATTGCAGACATTGTCAGGAAGTGGAGGATTTACTTTTAAATAATTTCATATCAATGACACGTACACAGAAGTCATCCTAGAACTCACTGAATGAGTGCAGTAACGATTGATACATATTTTGATGTAACTTCTTTTGGACAGTTAGGAAGTACTTCTTCTTTTCAAAGCCATTTCCTTACTGTCTCTGACTAGTTTTTATTAATTTAATAGTAACTATGCAAAATGAAAAATATTTAACAATTACCATAATACTATCCTTTAATTTCATAGTTCGAAAAATTAGGTGGAAAATTAGTAGAATATAAGTATTAAAATGAGGAAAATAGGTATGGATACAAACAAAATTTTTACATTAACATTCTTATGCTATTTATAAATGATTAGTTATTAATTTTATTTTAAAATCCAAGTTCTGGTGTTGATATATTTTTGTTATTTAAGGTGTCCATTTTACATATTTATGGCCCATTAGATTTACAAATTAAGCTGTTTTTTATTTTATCCGTAGAATACATTGGAACATAGCTGCACTAAACTACTGAAACACTCACATTAGCAATCCTATATGGAATTAAGAACCCTTACCCATAAAATTGCAGTTCCCTTCACATTTTCTACATCACATTTATCGTATAAAAAAGTAATTTGTATACTGAAACAGACAAATTATGCTAAACAAATTCTGTCTGGAACTTCTCCCCCTTTGTGGCAAAACATGGCCGTACTGTGCAAGTTCTTACATGGCGCCTTATCGTTCTCAATCACCTTGTAACATCGTTGTATAATTTGACGTGAGGGGTAACAGTTGACAATGATCACTCTTGACAGCTTATCATAAATCATGATTTATCGCATCTCAACATTCCGTCTTGAGTTACTGAGTCTTAAAGATTCTTTCATATTGTGTCTTTTTTTCTGTATTGCAACTGCCTAATGACTCATGTTTATGAGAATTTCTTAACAGAATTTTTTTAATTCAAATATTTTAAGGAACAATTGCTACGTGCTTTTGTCAATTTTAATTTCTAAGTCCGCGAACACTATTTGAAATGTTTGAATGACTTTAAGTTTTATTGTAATTTATTTTAATGAATAGTTTACTTTTTTCCTGAATGTTTTTGTACGGAATATTTACACAAAAATATCTTTTTATTTCACTTTCAATGATTGTAGACTTTAGGAAATTGTATTGGAGAGTACTATGTAACAAAATCATTAAACCATGTATAAGTATATAGTTTTTGAGGTAAACCACTGATTGGTTGTCTCTAGAGTACTATACTGTATGCTACTTGCAATTTAATGCATAATTCATGAGCAACACTGCTGCATGATGGGAGTTTTTGCTTTATTTCTAAACATACTGGAATTTTCTTTAGACATTTATGTAATGTTATCCTAAAAATTACAATTTTGTACATACATGCTTCAAGATTAGTAATTCAATTTAAAAATAATTTTTGAGGATATTTTTATTATTTCTCATTGATATATGTACATTTCTGCAAGTACGATAGACAAGTAATTATAAACAAAAATGAAATATGAAATGAAGTTTGTTCTATATACAGTACTTCATGTGAATATATCACTGTTGAAAATATGGTTGATTTAATTCACTAACATAACACAACACACTATTTTTGTTTATAAATAGAAATGTGAAAGATTGGGAATTGCCTAAATTATAAGTCAAATTTAACAATTAAACATACTGTATCACTATTGAACATTTTGGTTGAAATGAATCACTAACATAAATTATTTTTGTTGAATAGAGTGTGATTAATTTGAAGTAGTTTAAAATTATATCAAATAATCTGCCTTGTTGGAAAAATGAAAGTATTTGTAACATTAGTTAATCACTGATTGTGGCTATGTTGAAGTAATTACCAGTAATTTTAAATTTGAAGTTATTCCTTGCTGAGAATACAGAAACTATATAATGGGTCTGCTAATTGCCTGGAAAAATGTTTTCTGATATTTAATTGAAAGTTAAATTATACAGTACATGTAGTAAGAGATAGAATAGAATGTTTTTGTTCAATTGTAAAAGCCCAACACAGATAGTTTATCATTAAGTATTCAATAATATTTTTTAAGTATAAGAAGGCTGATACATTTTATAAAAGTAAATGATAATACTATTCTCTTTATCTCCTAAGAGAAAAAAACAAAATGTTATTTACAAAAACAAGTTTTCAATGTATAAATAATATAATAAGAGAACTGATCTGATTTAAATTTGTGCTATTTTGCTAAATAGATGGAAATCCGCAGAGTATAATGCAACAACTGTCTGCTTGTGTTGATAAATTTACTAATATTATGGCAGAAGGCCCATCCATAGCTAGTTTGCTGATGGTATATCATTGTCAGAAACCGTAGGCCTGTCCCAAGCCTGTGCATATGTTATGTCAGCCACTTTAGACTTGTCCCTAGCTTCTTTGCAGATGTTCAGGTTAGCCACTGTAGACCTGGCCCTAGCCTTACTGGTGACGGGACATCAGTCACTTGTCAGCCCCTAGAGTCTGCAAATGACAGTCGGCTTTACTAGTTTCATGCTCTTATGGGGAGAAACTTAAGTGGTTTGCAACGTATGGTAAAGATAATATTAAGATATTCATTTGCTTTGTGTTTTAGACTTAACACTATGTTAGTAACTCGACAGAGTCGTGTGTATTTTATGATCAGTAAAGCTTGTATAATTTAATAGTAAATTTTTTTTACTTTCTGTTTATAACAATTTTTTACTTATTATTACCATTATTATCAATATTACAATTACCATTTGATAATATCAATAAAAAATTATAATATAATTATTAATTTATATTTTATTTTTTTAGCACCTGAAGCTGAAGAGCAAAGTACCCCCTCTGGAGACCAGACTGTTCCCTCAGTGATTGCTCAGAACCCGACTTTGGCTGCTGCCCTCTGTGGTGAGCGCCCTCCAGAGCCAGAGCACATGCCCGTCAAAAATGCACCCTTGCCACCACCTGGTAAGCAATATGCACAATTTTAAACATTACAAACTTTTTTGAGTATATCTTTCGTTTGTATATTTTATTATCATATTTCAAACAAAATTAGTATAGAAAATTTCTTATTTTGTGATTCTTTTCTCTGTACATTTTCTCCTCCACTTTTTCTAACTCCTTTGTATATAAAAAAAAATGTGGGCAGTACAGTCATCTCTGATTTTTTTTAAATGGTAGAGGTCATGTGAAGGTATTGTTCATCTTAGCCTTTTACTTTACCATTTCTCTTCTATTCCTATCCATTGTTAAATATTATTGCCAACAATGTCTTTCTTGGCTGTCCGCTACTTCATTTCCTATTTAGTTTTCAAATGACCTCTAGATCTGTAAAACCTATGTCCAGCAAACTCAATTTAAGTTTGGCTGTATGTTCTTAGACCTTATGTCTAGCGTTAACCCATTTTAATTACCTCGACATTACTTATGAAACGTGTGCAACATAAAAAAGATAAAAGAATGAAAAGGAGGTGGTAACCCTTAGGAATGCTTTGTAGCCATTTATATCTAACCTGTCAGCAAATACTTAAATTTTATCATTTTCCTATCTTATCATGATGCCCAGGTTTTCAAACTTTGTTTTTTTTTTTTTTATTTATTTCACCATCCCCTATAGAAATGAATATTACTAACATCTGCTACTATGTAACTGTAAAATAATGTTTGAAAATTGTAACTTAAAGGTGTTACTGTTAGAATCATTTAAGAAGACTATCATTCAAAAAATTATTAAAAAGCCTAAAAAATTAAATATAATGATAAAATAAGGGAAATCTGTAGGTGCTTTACTATGACTATAGGAATGGAATTGAGTAAACATCTGTTTTTTCTCAAGTTTATATTTGATTTAGGTTGTGTACATCCTTAAACACATTTAACAAGTTGACCTTTTAACCTCTAATGCTGACCACTTTATTTGTTTGCAAACTATCAGACCACATTGTTTGTTTGACCACATTGTTTGAGTAAAGTTGTCTATGGACCTACACTGTCTAGTCTGAGGTCAAAGGTAATTGTTCTAGTCAGCCTATACAATACTTTCTTTCCACAAAGGTGTTTTTTTAAATTCAAAGTTGATTGATACAGATGAACAATGCAAGAATGATTAAGTCAATTGAAATCAATCAATCAATTTATTAAGAAATTGCACCTTTATACGTGTAGCACATACAAAGGTGATGCGTCCAAATTGAGTATGACAACAAACTTCGGAGAAAAAAAACAAACAAGCAAGGCCAGGGAAATAAAACTGCATTCTCAAGAAATTTTAAAGTATGCAATAATGAAGTTATGCAAAAACCAACATTTCTCAGTGAGTCCCTTATATTGAAGAAATAATATAATTTCTACAAGGATTCCATCACTCGAACCCTATTTTTAATATAATTGCGCTGAGGACCTTGCTCACTTCTGTAGCAAATGGTGATGCATCCAAATTGAAGATGTTAACAAAACAATTAAATTAAAAAAGAAAGCTTACAGTGACAAAATTCTGATAAAGAAAGCAAGTAAAAAGGCTGTAGAAATAAAACTACGTTTTTTAAGACATTGTAAATGTACTGTACACAATAATTAAGTAATGCAATAACTTTTCCGCTTAATTTCATACATTAAAAATTATTAAAGTTTCTGTGAGCACCCTAATTTAAGTATAATGGTAATCATTTTAGCCTGGAATGCAGTTAAATTGACCACCTCCTGGTAATTTCAAAACATGCAGCTAATTAGTTTGTTGAAAGAAATAATGTTGCTGCTAGCATGGTGCTAGCTAGGCCTTCTGAATCTAAGCTGTCCATTCGATTCCTGTCCATGGCCTTCAGTGCCAACCTTTGCTATTGAATGTACTCCTCAGTCTCGGCCTGGGAAACAGGTAACATGAACACAAACATTGTATGATATCCTTGTAAGCATTACAAATAAAGCAATTCAAAATATAAGAATTCACAGCAAAGTAGATCACGGTATTAACTCATTTGTGAGAAGATGCTAATCCAGCTTTTCATTCAGTTGGGGATTATCCAACAGATTTTTCCAAATCTTTGTGAACCGTCAAATAATTAGTTTTGATTTATTGTGATGTCATTAACAAGTAGAATGTTGGTTGAAGTGATGAGTGTTTAACTATTGACTACCATGAACCTATAGGTAAGATCAAGGATAGTCTTACAAATTTAATGGTAGAAAAATTTTTGAAAATCTGGGGATAATATAAAGTGGCCTCATATAATACACTAACCTGTTGTTAGTACATTCACATGTTGAGACTGTTAGCAATAATGGTGTATTGATATTTGAAGCATATTACACAGGAGAGTTCATTTATGAATTTATTAAGTGTGAGCCAATTAGAAAATAATGACAGGTATTCTTATGCTGTGTCCATACTGTTAAACTTTCTGTGATAAATTCAGCCATATTATGGGCACATTCACTGGTATTTGTCACTTACAAATTGATTGAGCATACAGAGGCTTAACACAGCCCACGGATCTTGATTTGTATTGTACAAATACAGCTTTCATGGCACGCGTCACTTTGTCTGCTTTCACCTAAATCATGATTATAACAGTTTTCATAAAAAGTTCACAAAAAGGAGAACTTAGGAGCACAGTGCAATGATATTCATAATTATGCCAATAAATATGGGTGTTGTGTGTGCATGAATGGCTCACTTATTAGACAGCAAATGATTTGGCACACATTTTAACAACCCTGATGTTATTTTTTACCATGATAATAACAAATGATTAAAGGTTTGAATGCTAACTGAAATACTTTGACAAACTGCTTTGTTAATAATAAAAAAAATATATAATCAACAATGATAAAAAATGATGTTATTGGCTGGCAGTAAGATTCTTGGCTCCTAATTCATTCATGTTAAACCATTTTTGCAAAAAGAACATTTTTGAGGTTTTGATGTGCTTTCGGCAGTACAAATATATTATTAAAATGTAATTTTATGTTTCTTAAATTGATACACCAACTATTAACTTTTGATAACATAAAAACACTTAAATATCATTAATTGTGTACAATTTTTGTTAATTTACCAAGTATCTTGATGGCATATCTCCCATCACATGTTTAGTAGCAGAAAAGTGCGCTATCCTTTATTCTTGTGTACCGTGTGACAACCTTTTTATTTATTTAATGTATAAAAAGAACACACACACACAAAGTGATAGCATAAAGCTAAGATGCTTGCAATTAATATATTAAAATAGGTACAGAATCCCCAAATAGCACTATATAACCGGTAAGCAAATCACTAATAAATTATAGAAATAAAATAGTTAATACTGCCTCTTATTACAATATACTATTAGTACATTAATAAATTCTCCATAAATTGACACGAAAATTCTAGTTTCATTAAAATTGTACATAAAGTAAGACCTTTTATACTTGCATGACATTTCATCCATATGGTTTGTGTTTGTGCTTTCAACCTGGAATGAGAATCTGGTAGAGACTATGTAATCTTGTACTAGGTGATATACATGAATCATATTTTTTACGTATGGTATGGTATGTGTTTCATTGTCCAACACTTGGCTTTTGTTTTTTTCGGCGATCCATATCAATAAGTGTATAATTCAAAAAATAGCGCCACAAACGTTATGAACTGGAGACGTCTAAAGCTGTTTGTGTGTACCATTTGTTTTCCATCATTCTCAATACAATATTTGTAGAGGCTTGTTGTGCTTAACAACACCTAAATGTGTGTTTTCCCGTGGCTAGGTCACTGAAAACCCAGATTTTGACCACTGGACACAGAGCATCTGTTGTCATTCCTCATGGTCTTTCTTTTGGTCATTATCCTGGTTATTCTAGGCCCAGTAGAGCACAGATGCAACCATTCATCCAGCCTTGGACAAGTGTCTCTCAGCCCAGCATGATTTACTCAAGCTGGGATCTTACTGGGCTTAGCAGCATCATTGTTGATGCAAGAGTTGTTGGCAGAGGTACACATAATTGGTTCGGGTCAAACGCCCTAAGGCTTAGAAACGGGTGCATCCGCTCTGAACTTGATCCAGTTGCCATGATGACAGGTTGTGCCGCTAACGCGTCAATTTCCCATCCTGCCATCTTCACCCGTAGTGCATTTGTCAGTTCAACTATCTATTTTTGTCTTAATAGCCTGCTCATTAGTCTCCCAGTCCCAGTAGTCTTAAGGTCCTGGGATCAGTGACAGCTGAGAAAATAGGCCCTGCATAGAGTTGGTGGTATCTTTTGTAACAATGTTTCTGTACTTTAGGAAGCTAGTTACAGATTAAGACTTTAAGATATAATAAGCTAAGATGATCCAGGGCTGTTACATCCTTTTGATTAAAACCCCCTTATCCTCACCAACGTTTACATAAAATAAGATTATTCGTAAGCTGTTACATCTTTTGATTGCAACCCCTCACCCTCACCTATGGTTTAGTGTTTGGTTAAGATACCTTGCAGGTCAGTGACCTACAAACCATCAGTTAATGGCCTGTGAATTGAAGTGAAACACCTGTGATTAACATAACATAGGTAATGATCGAAAAGTTATCAAATTCGCAAGAAGACAACACATAATGTGGTATCAATGAAAGTCTTTATTCTAATGACAATAATAATAATAATTCAATAATAATAATAATTCAATAATAATAATAATAATAATAATTCAATAATAATAATAATAATTCAGCTGAAGAAGGTCCGAGAATGTGAATTGAAAGCTACTGGTGAGAAACAATACATATTAGCTTAACATAAATGAAATTCGAAATAATAATAATGATAAAGATTAGGAATTTATATAGTGCCTTTGGATACAAGGCCATAAAAATATGGGAAAAGATAAATATATAGATAATAAGAGATGGGAAAGGATCCAAAAATCATGGCCATTTTAAATCAGATTGAGATCTGATGGTGACGATATGATGTAAAATATTATGGAGTGATGGTTCCAAATTTCATTT